TAGTCTGCATTTCAAATGACTGATGCTGTGGTGGCTCTGCTGTTTGCAGACCTTGCTTTGAGGAGACAGCTCTTCTCCATCCTCCTTTTCCCTACCTGCTTAGGTCTATGTGAGAATGTGTACTTCTAACATTGTCAGTGATGACAAATGAGAGCACTTGCCAGGACTTAATGCTCATAGCACTATTAGGTAGGTGACATTATATTCCTGTTTACAAGGAAACTGGCACAGAAAGGTTAACGAACTTGTTTCAGACCACCCAGCTAGGTACTGTAGTTTCAGAGTCTACACCTAACTTGCTGTGCCAATGGTTCTCAAAATGGAGGTTATAACCAGGTCACCTGCTAGACTTGTGGAAACAGACTTTCCACCCCAGTTTCTGATTTTATAGGTCTGGGTTGGAGCCTGAAAGTTTACATAAAAAAAAATCAAATAACATTAATGCTACTGGCCCCTTGGGGATAACTTGCAAGCCACTGTGTATGTTATGCCAGGTAATCGCTCAGAACTTGACGAGATCTTCACCTTTTTAAGCCTCTCAGTAATCATACAATAGAGGTACTTGTCTATTCTCTCCATTTTGCAAGCAAACTAATTGACGCATAAAGAACGTTTAAAATTTGTCAACAGCCAGTGAGCTGTTAAGTCACAAAATACTTGACCACCAATAATAGATTCCTAGGCCTACACTCTTGATAACTACACTCCCCAGTCTGTCACAAGAGATTATTGCCTATAACTGTGCCTTGAACAGAGCTCATTGTGTGTGTGTGGACAGGGAGAGGAGGGCTGAAGAAGTTGCTCTGCTTAAGTCCACAGATGTGTGAGACCAACCATGTAGACAGTAACTTGACCAGGTAGAGAGACCTTTGTTCTTTTGGCCCCAGGATGTCTTAATCCCAACACAACAAGAGACAAGAATCTTGAGAGAAAAAGAGAAGTAATGTAGGCAACTTTATGGGGTGACCCTTGAATTGAGTTTTGGTTAGCTGCTGACTGGGACCGATCTCAACATCTGTGTTTGGAAACACTTTGGGAGGTTTGGTCCTTGAGTGGGTCATCCTAAAGCCAGACAGTGCAAGCAAGGTGCAGCCTCTGCACCTCTGGCTGCATCTGGCCAGCCTCAGCTCCCCATTCCTAGAATGGCTTCATCAAATAAACTGTGTGAAAAGACCTCTAAATCCCCATGATACCTAACTTCTATGATGTCATAAAGAATGAATGTTCTGGTCACTTTGTTTTCTTATCTAGGTCTCTGTTTAATAAATTCTAAATGATAAAGTATTCAAAATAAGTTACATTCCTAACATAACTTACATTTTGCCATTTTACTATGATGAATTTTCCTCCTGATGTCCATGTTGGTGATTATGCCTTTTTTGGTAATACAGCTTTAGTTTTCTTTTCTTCTTTTCTTATTCTTTGTTTTGTTTCTTTCTTCTTTGAATATTGTGAGTCCTGCTGCCATACGGAAGTAGAAGAGGGAAAGTTACTGCAGGCTATGTCTGCCTCTGGATACTGGCTATGAGTCTGTCCAGTAGAGAGGGGAACAAAACTCAGTAAGTCTTTGAGTTTATTCCAGGCCTTATTTTCCTTTTAATTTAACAGCAGGGAACTTAATTTCTAGTATGTGCTACTGTCTGAAATAAAATTCTAAAAAACAACTTTTAAATTAAAAATGTAAAACTGGGAGATGGTTCAGTGGGAAAAGGCACTCACCACCAAACCCAACAACCGGAGTTTGATTCCCAGGGCCCACATGGAAAGAGGAGAGGACAGACTCCTGTAAACTGACCTCCACACATGCACTGAACCATGCATGTCTCCCCTCCCCCAGATAAATGCAATACAAACAGTTTTAAAACTCATTTTTATGCATTTAAAGCAGATGCTGCAAAAACTATTTTAAATTTACCTGGAGAAGAGGAAAATCCTAACCTTTGTATGCGCTGTTTCTTCCACCTCAGGGAGGTCTTCTCCAGGCATCCCTGTGATTTGGTCTCCTGTTCAAACACCACCTGGGCAGCAGACTTCCCTAGCTCCTCATCTGAGAGAACTACCCTGCCAAGCTACTCACCTCCAGACCTTGCTGTGCTCTTTAATTCTCAAAGCAATTTTTCTCAGCATGGTTCTATTGTTTTGTCTGGGTTTTCCCCTTAGAATGTAATCTCCATGGAAAACTGTTGCTCCCTGCAATGGCCTTGTAATGCCAATAGGCTGTGATGGGAGCTAACCAGTGAGCTCGGATGCACAGTGAATGAAAGTGATTTTCAAATTTTTGCTGAATTTCTTTTTCTTTTTGGTTTTACGAGACAGGGTTTCTCTGTGTTGTTTTGGAGGCTGTCGGTCCAGCCCGGTCTCGAACTCACAGAGATCCGCCTGCCTCTGCCTCCCGAGTGCTGGGATTAAAGGCATGCGCCACCACCACCCGGCACTGAATTTCTAAGTAATTCTCTTATTCGCTAACATTCTTCTGTATAAAGATCCCTAGACATGCATTAATGTGCATATGTATATGTATGTATATATATGTATATGTATGTATATGTATATTTTAAGTCCTATTTTTGCCTCTTCCATACCTGGCTGGGTCGTTTCTCAGAGTTTCATCTTGTGAACCTGACAGCCTGTGACCTTTATCCATGACCAAAGTCCAATAGGAAAAAAAAACCAGATTCCATATATAATGTAATCTGAGTTTTCCCATCCCAGCAGCTGCATCCAAATAACCACTCTGAGGCTTATATTAATTGTAAGTGCTCAGCCAGTAGCTCAGACTTGGTTCTAGCTCTTACACTTAATGTAATCCAAACCCTTCGTTTACGCTCTGCCATGTGGCGGTACCTTTATTAACATGGCACATTCCTCTCCTGCTCCCTCTGTACCCGCGGGAGACTCCTCTGCCTCCGTTCTTCCTTTCCCGTCATCCTCAGTTTGGTCGCCCTACCTGCCTGGCTGCCAGCCAATCAGCGTTTTATTAAGCCAATTCGAGTGAGAAATCTTTACAGTGTACAAAAGGATTCTTCTGTAGCAATATAAAGATTGTGTTAGCCCACTTACTGTGTCTATTAGCACAGTACCGCTGTTTAAAGGGGTCTAGTTTGGCTGTGGTTCTGGAGACACAGGTCAAGGGAACACATTTGGAAATGGTCTTGCTGGCAGAGTCCAGAAACAGGTCTCTGACAAAGCCACTAAATATTGGTTACGAGGACTCCACCTTGATGGTCTCATTTCATCTTACTTAACCTCTGAATGGCCCCACATAAAAACACAAGTAGTTGGTTAAGCTCTGTCCTGACAGTTTCACAATGGCGAAGAAATTTCAGCACCTGGACCTTTGCAGATACCCTCAAAGGTTCTCTGAACATGGCATGAAACCGCACAACGAACTATGAAGATTAATTTTCAAACCATCATGGCCTAAGGTAGACTTTATTCCTCAGGCCAATGTCAAAAAAAAAAAAAAAAAAAAAACCATGAAGTCCCAAGCTTTTGGATTGCTGACCCAAACAGATTTCCAGAAACGTATCAAACCTTGAGATGCTAGCCACACTTACACCAAAGCCCTTGGCCCTCATTTTACTCTCCAAGCCTGTTTTCCCAGTTCCTATACTATCGCAAGTCTCAGATCATATAATCTGGCCCACAAGGGCATCATTCATTCTTTGTCTTTATGTTTTGTTGTTTTAAACTTCACTTGGAAAACTATTGCAACTGCATTGTCCACCGTAGTTAAAGATGACCAATAAATCAGGATGAGATGTACACACACAAAAAATTCCTAAGTCTGCTATGGGGCTGTTTTTTAAAAAGATTATATATATATATATATATATATATATATATATATATATATACTTGCGTGTAAAATGTTGGCTAATAAAGAATGTCTGATCAGACTTTTTGAGAGTCTGCTCTCATGTAACCATGACTCCTCCAAATCAAGTATTTAAGTCAGTCTCATTTCCAGAATAAAGACAGATGCAGCGTGGAACTCAACCTTTTAACTCCAAGTACAGTCACTGTATTCTTTTGACGGATGAAGAAAGCTTAGTCCAGAAAAGTAACTTGCCCGTGGTCAGGCTGTTAAGTCAAGTGAGCCTCAAGACACAAGTCTTCAACAGTGTCTTCCGCCGCCTTCTCTGCGCGGGGACCCAGCAAGCAATTCCCCGTCGATTGTCCCGCCTTCCCCAAGCGCTAAGTCTGGCTCCCGGGCCAGCCACACTCAAAAAGGTACCCACCCGCCCCCCGAAGCCACGCCCAGAGTTCCCATCAGCCCCTGGCGTCCCTCTCCCGCCCAAACCCCCGTGACCTTCGATGCGGTCGCTAGGCAAACCCGCGACGCTGCCCGGAGTCTCGCGAGGGTACAGCCGTTGCCCCGGCAACAAGCGGCCCCCCGCTCTCCATGGAGGGCGTGGCTGCGGCCGCCGAGTTGCGATGGCGTTTCCTCTGGCTCTGTAGTCTGCGGGGGTCCGGGGGACGTCCGGAAGTGCTCTCCCGGCGAGGGTGGGACGACCCGGCTGGCTGGAGGAGGCCGAGGAGGCGAGGCGGGCGGCGTGAGTGCGGAGGCGGCTCGGCGCGGGCCCTGCGGTCGTGCCCTCTTCCAGCGCGGCCCCGCGGCCGCCGGCTTCCAGCCCCCCAGCGCCAGCCCGCCTGGTCCGCGCACGTCGGGACGCGGCCGCCGGGGCCTGGCGGGGTGTCCCCGCTTCGAGCTGTCATCCGGGGCCGGAAGCGAAGCGGCTGCGGTGGTTGTTTATGATGACGCTGGCGCGGCGCCTTCTGTGGGTGCAGCCGGCTCCCCCAGACACGCCCTTCTGCAACCACCGTCAACCCAGGGGGTGCGAGGATTTTGTGGGTTGCGGGCAGTCCACGCTCCTAGGCAACATCAGCCAGAAGTTGTGAAATTGGTGAATTCCCTTTGGTAACCTCCAAAGTGTAAAATACTGGCGAAGGTTTCTCGGCCATTTCGTTGCTTGCGAGCAGGTTTGCCTCGAAGCAGCAGCGGTCATCACCAACAGAACCTTCTGGTCCATCACTGCTAATGATGTCATTAATATACAGAAATGATCAGGCTTAAAGGAACTCAAGTTGTAGACCAAAATTTTGGGTCAGTTGAAAGTTAAGGAGGAAGGGCAGAAATTTTAAACTATTGCTACATTTTATTGTCCGAATAATTATACCTTTTCTTGCAGCCTAACTTTTTAAATGCCTGAGGATAATCCTGAATTTGCTATTGCTGTGTAGTGTTTAATTATAAATATAAAGTGTAAATAGTTTGGCTATGTACTGTGAAAGTTTCAACCAAATTATTTACATGATTTGTCCTTTTTAGCAGACTTTTTCAGTTTTATTTTTGTTCATAAAACATACAGATTAGTTGTCCCCCTCTCTCTCCTCCCATCTTTGTGTCTTCGTTTTAATTTTTTATTTAATTAAAATATAATTACATCATTTATCCCCCTTCCAACACTCAGATTCATAGCCTCTTATTATTAGCTTTATGTTTGTGTATGCAGATAAATATATAAATGCAACCTGCAGCAGTCTGTGGAATGTGGCATATGTGTATATTTGTAAGACTGACCAATTGGTATTGGATAACCATTTAGAGGGCCAGTCTTTATTGTAGTAATGAATAGTTTCTTCAAATCTTTGAAATTGTAATTGATTTCCTGTATCCTTATTACTTTAGTTTTTAGAGGCCTGTCACTGTTAATTAAATACACTTGGATGTGTTTTGAAGTATTCATCTAATGTAGAACATACATACCTAGGCTTAAAAGAAAAGCTGTCCAATAGTTTCCTGAGAACGCCTACAGCCTACCTACACAGTAAACGGGAGTTCAAGGCAGACGCTGGGAGAGATGTCAGAAGACTCAGAGGAGGACGACTCAGACCGAACTATCAGTGATGACGATGAATCAGTATGTCTTTACATAGTTTGAGACAAAATTACTGTAGAACGTTATTTTCCCAGTTAAAATATTGTAAATTGAGGTGATGTCGAAATAAAATGAAGTCATTGTCATGTCAAGTTAGAAAATAGCTTGACTGAAAAAACTTATGTATCCTATCTAGAAAGAAAGAAAAGAATTATTCTTCCTTGAAGAGGGTATCAGTTTGAAAGTGCAAAGGGGGAATGGGAAGGCTTGGAGGGAGGAAGGGGATACAATTAAAAGCATTTTTTAAAATAGGAAAAAAAGATTTTTCATGAGAAAATACTTGGGTATGATTACTCAGGATTTTATTAAGATTAATATAACCATTAGGGACTTTATTTTACAGTCCATATCTACTTCCTTACGTGCTGACACTGCTACAACATAATATGCAGCGTGCTAGAACCACTGGTGTTCCACCCAGAGCTCGTGTGTTTGACCACAGTACGTTAGCGTTACTGCCTAACACCAGGAGAGGATGTGGGGAGTAGGAAAGGAAGGGGAGGGGTTAATGTTTGAGAATACTGTGTCTGGTCCTACAACCTGTTCTAAGAGATTTCCTTTTAAAAGTATAAATTATATGTTTAAAGTCACAAAATCTCTCCAAAATGACATATTGTTCCCTAAGTCCATAACTTTCTGTGTTTTTTTTTTGAGTTCTCATTCTCCAGTTGTTTTCCCAAGTGTCCCAGTATTAAACTTCATTCCATCTGTGTAGTCGTTATCATTGCTATACCCTGTGGAAGAGGAGGAATAAAGATGCAAACTTTAAGGTTCCAGTGCATTGAAGCTACTGCTTTGGGGCCAATGACCCAAAGAATCATTGGAATCTCCCATTTATTAAAGATTAAAGACAATCCCAAGTACTTAAAAACATTAAACAAAACTCTGGATTTTGATATTATTGGTTCTTAAATTTAAAATTCTTTTGTTTCAGGATGAGGATACGTTCATGAAATTTATAAGTGATGATATTCATCAGTGTACACTACTAGCAGGTTTGAACTCATCTATATGTATTCTCTCCTTTATCATGAAACTCTGAGTGGATAAAAAATGGGATAAGGAAACTGAAAAAAAATCCAGATTTAGTAAAGCAGTGATTATTCTGGTAGGTAGGGAGGAAAAAATATATCCACTTTGGAGTTTTAACTTTTCAGGACAGTTTTAAGTAAACCTGGCTAATATGAGAAAATAATGAATGAAATTAAATGAAAACAGTGATTGTGATTGCTTTGTGAAGGACTGTTTAACATGAGTTAACTTTTCATTTTATTCAAACAACTAGAGAGAGCTATTTCTTATTTTTAAGACATAAGATATAACAAGCAATGGATTGGAGCTATATATATATTTCAGTACTGTATAGTTACATAAGTAGATTTTTAAATAAGGTTATTCATTTGCAAGTATTTGTGTGTGGGCATCTTGATGTATACTGTTTTTTTAATGTGTGTATTTTACAGTTGTACTGTCAAATTCTAAAATATTTTCAATAAATCTTTACATATATAACACAGTCTAATACAGATGTTAAAGCCTTTTTGTCTTTTACCACCATCCCAAAACAAATCTTCACTTTTAAGGTAATTATGCTTCTTAAGTTGGTATGTGTCATCGCTGGGGTTTCTGTTGCTGTGACAATACCATGACCAAAAGCAGCTTGGGAAGGAAAGGGTTTAGTTCATCTTATAACTCTCAGGTCACACTCCATTTCTAAGGGAAGTCGGGGAGGAACTCAAGGAACTGAGCTGGAGGCAATAACCAAAGCGGAAGCCATGGAGAAATGCTGCTTACTGGCTTGCTGGGCTTGCCTGCTTTACCATCCGGGGACCATTTGCCCTGTGATGGCAATTCCACCAGCGAGCTGGGCTCTCCCACGTCAGTCAGTAATCAAGAAAATGCCTACTTACCAGTGTTGTGGAGGCATGTTTTCAGGATTTCATCTTCCCAAATATGTCTAGGTTTGTGTTGACAAAAACACAATCTTGCTAGATTTTCCTCTTTATAAGTGTATATGCATATATATGTAGTATATGTGCATATATAAAGTATAGATGTGTGTTTGTATATATACCTATTTTATTTTTTAAGCTTTGCCATCCAATGGAAGATAGAATGTAACTCCTTATTTTAACTTATTTTACAAGCTTATTATCTATTTTTATTCCTTTCTATGAATTGCCCATTCATGGTAATTCTTTTTTTTTTGCTTATGTTGTTTCCATCATTTGAAATTATTTTGGTATGGTTGGGTTTAATCAGTGTTAATTTATGGCTCTTATTCAAATTGCAAACACCTCCCCTACCCCAAGGGCCATGAGTGTAAAGAATCTTAAGTACTCGTCTGTGTTAATCTGAAGTTTGATATTTCATTTCTCACATGAGTAGGTTTTATTTTCTAATTAATAAATAGCTGCAGTGTCATTTTGTAATCTGTGGCATTATTTATTGAAATTTGGTGATTTTTTATCATTGATTTGTAATGTCACCTTTACCAAATATTAGACATATAACTTTATCATGTACTAAATCCCATCTTTCCATCTCTGGAATCATGAATCACTGATAATGTTGAAAGTTACAGCTATAAATGTGATATTTTGGTATATGTTAGAACAAGTATTTCTTCTGACTCTGTAATTGAGTCAAAAGTTAGAAACAATTTGAATATCCAACAACAGGAAAATTATTGAATAAATCATATCACATTGTGTTCAAGATATATATTGTACTATGCTCTCTAAGAAAGGCTTTTTATAAGTGAAGATATTATTACTAAAGAGCCACAAATGAATTCTGGAGGACCAATGCAGATATTTATTGTGATATATATTAAATAAAGTCACAGTCATATGTTTAAGGTGATCCAATTTGGGTAAAGCCTATTAAAATGTAACTTTGACACATTTAGGAGATGATTTGAGCAACAACAATCCACAAATTGGATGCTTAAAACTGGAAAGGGTTTGGAAACACTACCTAAGCTCTCACGTAAGGGAAAGACTTAAAGAATGAATTAATAAGCAAGGCAAAGAAAAGATTTGTTTAAAGTAGAACAGAGAGCTGACTTAGATCCCAGTGGAAAGTCCCTAGAGGTTAGTTCACAAGTTTTGTAGTCATATAAAAGAAGGGAAACAAACATAGAAGGCATTTCACATCAAACTGATGCCATACAATTACACACTGACAGAGAAAGGGTAGACCCGTGACAACTGTATGAACCACTCTCCCGAGGTTGGGTCATGCAGTGAAAAGCGTGTGACTAAGAGAATACTAACAATCTAAGATCCAGTAAGTGGTGAAGTTATAGTCAGTGCCTATATTTAACACTAGTGGACAATTAGTATGATTAGGAAGTCAAATATAGGGCTTGGAGAAATAGATCATTCAGTAAAGTACTTGCCTCACAAACATGAACCTAAGTTCTAAACAATAATGTCTGGCATGGTGGTTTGCACCTTTAATCACAGCAATGGAGAGGTCATGAGACAGGAAGATCTGTAGGGCTCACTGGAGAGAAAGTACAGCCTAATAGGTGGGCTCTGGACCAGTGAGAGGCCCTGTATCAATGGAGGTGGACAGTGTTGTTGAGGATGACACCAAAATGAAGGTTGTCCTCTGGACTCATAGGCTCTCAGACACATACAAGTAAAAGTCAAACCTAGATGATCTGCTAGGGAAGCTGAAAGACACACATCTTTAAAGTATTGGTAAGAAATTATTATAAATACTACTACATAGGTTAGCAACCTTTTCAGTTACTATGAGGATCAGTTGTCACAAAATTTCATTTAGATATTAAAAATGTTATAAATTATTAAATAGTTAAGATGATATCTATAAATGTGCATAAATTAAGTAGATTAAAAGGAAAAGAAGCAAAACACGTAGGAATTGGGGATTTCCTTTTTCATTCATGTTTGTATTTTAATCTTTTTTCAGCTGGTTCTATTGGTGACCCATTCTTCCCTCGAACTACACAGATTTTATTAGAGTATCAGCTAGGAAGATGGGTACCACGTCTTCGTGAACCACGGGACTTATATGGTGTCTCTTCTTCTGGTCCACTGAGCCCAACACGGTGGCCATACCACTGTGAAGTCATTGATGAAAAAGTTCGACATATTGGTATGTTTTTAGAAGTTTGGGGCATTCAGACATTAGCAAACTTACTTTACCAATCTTGATGTAATGAGGAGACTAACGATATAACAACTGCATTCCAGAAGTATAACATAAGTCAGGTGTATAAATAAAAATTTCCTACTCACAGGGCTGGAGAGATGGCTCAGAGGTTAAGAGCACTGACTGCACTTCCAAGGGTCCTGAGTTCAATTCCCAGCAACCACATGGTGGCTCACAACCATCTACAGTTCAATCTGGTGCCCTCTTCTGGCATGTAGGCAGAACACTGTACATGTAATAAATAAATCTTAAAAAAAAATTTCCTACTCGCTATATAGGTTTAAAAGTAGAATTAATTGTAAAATATAGTCTATTTGAAGTATATCAAACATATTTCACTTTATTTTTGTACAAAGTCATCCAAGTCTGGTATGCATTTTATACTTTGGATATCTCAGTTCAGACTATTCACATTTCACTGTGCTTAGAGGGATTTAAAATGTATATTAGAACTGGGCATAGTGGTTCATACTTATCATTCCAGCATACAGGAGGCTGGGACAGAGGATTGCCAAGTTCAAGGCCACCCTGAGTTGTATATCACCAGATCCTATTTCAAGTAAACAAAAGTCCCAGGTTTATACTAGCTCTGAACAATTCCAAAGATCTGACTATCATAGTCAGACATACTGGACCCATGCCACTGTCGTAGTACTCACAAACTGCAGTTTCAGTCCATTTTTCTCTCTCAGTCTCTTAGTGTATCTTTGCTGATACTTGTCTTTCTCTTATTGCTGTTCCTCTTTGAGCATCTAACTCTTTAAACCCCTTTGTCTTTGCCTTTTTCTTTCCTAGATGTAGATGGACTATAAAAGACTTAAATGTATTTTTTGTTTGTTTGCTTATGTGTGCATTCCCAAATGTTTTCTACTATCCTAGAAAGAGCTCATAGACTTAATGTCCATAGTGAAAGACAGTGGAATAAAGACAGTCAAAATCCTCATTGCTCGCCGGGCGGTGGTGGCGCACGCCTTTAATCCCAGCACTCGGGAGGCAGAGGCAGGCAGATCTCTGTGAGTTCAAGGCTGGGCTGGACCGACAGCCTCCAAAACAATACAGAGAAACCCTGTCTCATAAAAACCAAAAAAAAAAAAAAATCCTCATTGCTCTGCACCTTCCCACTGCTATTTTTCTTTTGTTGAATGTAGAGTCCACATATGCTATTATCATGTAGAACTCTTGAGTGGATAAAATTAAAAGCTCTTTGTACTTCGTGCAGTACCTACTAAAGTGAAATGTCACTCAGGAGGTTTTTTTTTGCGGGGGTGGGAGGGTTGTTTGTTTGTTTTGTTTTTTGTTTACATTTCTGTTTTTTCGATACAGGATTTCTCTGTGTAGCCCTGGCCATCCTGGAACTCACTCTGTAGACCAGGTTGGCCTCGAACTCAGAACTCAGTGATCTGCCTGTAGATACCAAACAGAAATGTAGTATTAATTATAAATGTTCAGCTGATAGCATAGGCTTGTCTCCAGCCAGCTCTTACAACTTAAATTAACCCATTCCTACTAATCTGTGTGCTGCCATGAGACTTGTTTACCTCATCTATGAAATTCCCATGTTGCATCTTCTGCATCTGACTTGAGATTACCAAGATTCTGCCCTTCTTCCAAGCGTTCTCTCTGCCGTGAAAATCCTGCCTAGCGATTGGCCAATCAACTTTGCGTTAACAATGAGAGCAACACATTTTCACAATGTACAGAAGGATTATTCTACAGCATTTCACACTTTTGTATAGTTAAAAAGAAGGTTTTTAACATTAACATAGTAAAACTGTATATAATAAAACATTTATCAATTAAGACTTACCGTTACAATATCTAGCCCATTTATATTTGGCAAAATTAGAGAACATATTCTATCTTTGTGAGTCTAAAGTTTTATACCTAATTTACCTTTTCACAAAACCCTTAAGTTTAACTATTTAGTGTTTAATTCCATCAATGACCCTAGAAGGGTACAATGTTACCTAATGATAGAAACATCTGGCTTCTTGGATAGTCACCCAAAGTCCTGTAACGTTGGGGCATCCAAGTTTGGCCTATAGGCCTACTATATTTAACAGACAGTTTTGAGAAGCAGGGAATTTTGAAGGACTGTCCTATCTTGTCTTGGCACTTTCTTTTGCAGTTTTGTAGGGTTTTGTTGTTGTTGTTTTGTTTTGTTTATTTCTTTGTTTCTATCCAGGATTTTCAGGGAGTCTTCCTTAATCAAATCTGATCCATATCAACCTGGAATGAATCCACAGCCTGTCATTTCCTGTGGAAATAAAGGCATAACCTCTTACCCAAAGTAATATATCTATTGGCTTCCATTTTGAAGTCCAGACATTTTAAAAATATATAGGTTGGTTTAATCAGCAGTCTTCATAATCTAATATGTCTTAGCAGCTGTCATTCCTTTTTAGCAATCAGAAAATGTAAAGACAATAACATACAGAATCTGGACTCTCTGTGTACTTGTCATCTTTACTTGTCTTATTATATATTTTTATTTTACTTAACTCCTTTTTAAAAGACTTTATTTTTAAACTATTTTTAAATCTATGACCTATATACTTTTTCTCTTCTTTCTCCCAAGTATATGTATATTTTATTTATTTTTTAATTTAAATTAGAAACAAGGTTGCTTCACATGTCAGTCCCAGCTCCCTCTCCCTCTCCCTCTCCCTCTCCCTCCCTTCCTCCCACCAACCCCCCCTTCCAACCCCCACTCTGATCCCCAGGAAGCCTCTGCTTCCATCAGTCATTGTTTGAAGGTTCTGATTCCCAGACTCTCTGGCAATGGGATTGCAGGCTGGTACTCCCCTGATCCATGCCTAAAATCCATATATGGGTGAGTACATACCATGTTTGTCTTTTTGTGACTGGGTTACCTCACTCAGGATGGTTTCTTCTAGTGCCATCCATTTGCCTGCAGATTTCAACATTCCATTGTTGTTGTTGTTGTTTCAGCTGAATAGTACTTCATTGTGTAAATGTACCACATTTTCTTTATCTACTCTTCAGTTGAGGGGCATCTAGGTTGCTTCCAGGTTCTGGCTATTACAAATAATGCTGCTATGAATATAGTGGAACAGATGTCCTTGTTGTATGAATGTGCATCTTTTGGGTATATGCCTAAGAGTGGGATTGCTGGGTCTTGTCATAGACTGATTCCCATTTTCCTGAGGAATGTCCATACTGATTTCCATAGTGGCTGTACAAGTTGGCACTCCCACCAGCAGTGGAGGAGTGTTCCCCTTTCTCCACATCCTCTCCTGCATAAGCTGTTATTGTTGTTTTTGATTTTAGCCATTCTGACAGGAGTAAGATGATATCCAGATTTGTTTTGATTTGCATTTCCCTGATGGCTAGGGATATTGAGCACTTTCTTAAGTGCCTCTCAGCCATTTTAGACTCCTCTATTGAGAATTCTCTGTTTAGTTCTGTAGCCCACTTTTTAATTGGATCCTTTGATGTTTTGGAGACTTGCTTGTTGAGTTCTTTGTAAATTTGGGAGATCAAATCTCTGTCAGATGTTGGGTTAGTAAATATCTTTTCCCATTCTGTGGGCTGCCTTTTTGTCTTGTTGACTGTGTCCTTTGCCTTACTGAAGCTTCTCCGTTTCAGGAGGTCCCATGTATTAATTGTTGACCTCAGTGTCTGTGCTACTGGTGTTATGTTCAGGAAGTAGTCTCCTGTACTAATTTGTTCAAGGGTACCTCCCACTTTCTCCTCTAAGAGGTTCAGTGTGGCTGGATTTATGTTGAAGTCTTCGATCCATTTGGGCTTAAGTTTTGTGCATGGCTATAGACATGGATCTATTCGCAGTCTTCTACATACCAGCATCCAGTTCTGCCAGCACCATTTGTTGAAGATGCTTTCTTTTTTCCATTTTATATTTTTAGCTTCTTTGTCGAAGATCAGGTGTTCATACATGTATTGGTTAATATTGGAAATGGAGTGTTCAATTGTATTCCATTGGTCTGCCTGTCTATATTTGTGCCAATGCCAAGCTGTTTTCAGGACTATAGCTTTATAACAGAGTTTGAAATCAGGGATGGTGATGCCTCGGGGTATTGCTTTGTTGAATAGGGTTGTTTTGGCTATCCTGGGTCTTTTGTTTTTTCCATATAAAGTTGATTATTGTTCTTTCAAGGTCTGTGAAGAATTGTGCTGGGATTTTAATGGGGATTGCATTGAATCTGCAGATTGCTTTTGGAAAGATTGCCATTTTTACTATGTTGATCCTACTTATCCAAGAGCATGGGAGATCTTTCTATTTTCTGGTATCTTCTTTAATTTCTTTTTTTAAAGACTCAAAGTTCTTGTGATACAGGTCTTTCACTTGTTTGGTTAGTGTTACCCCAAGGTATTTTATGTTGTTTGTGACAATTGTAAAGGGGGAATGTTTCTCTGATTTCTTTCTCAGCCCTTTTATCATATATAGTAGGGCTATTGATTTTCTTGAGTTGATCTTGAATCCTGCCACTTTGCTGAAGATATTTATCAGCTGTAGGAGTTCCCTGGTAGAGTTGTTTGGGTCACTTATGTAAACTATCATATCATCTGCAAATAGTGAAAGTTTGACCTCATCTTTTCCAATTTGCATCCCCTTGATCTCCTTTTGTTGTCGTATTGCTCTAGCTAGAACTTCAAGTACAATATTGAAGAGGTATGGAAAGAGTGGATAGCCTTGTCTTGTTCCTGATTTTAGAGGATTCGTGTTGAGTTCTGTTCATTTAGTGTGATGTCAGCTGTTGGTTTGCTGTATAGCTTTTATTATGTTCAGGTATGTTCCTGTTATCCCGGATCTCTCCAAGACCTTTATCATGAAGGGGTTGTTGAATTTTATCAAAGGCTTTTTCAGCACCTAGTGAGATGATCATGTGATTTTTGTTTCTCAGCTTGTTTATATAGTGGATTACATTGATGGATTTTCGTATGTTGAACCATCCCTGTAT